GCCGTTAACTATCAATAATTCAAAATAATTATATGAAAAAATTCTTGATTTTACACCTTCTGTATTTCGTATTAATATAACGAAGCTGAAGAACATATGTAAGTTCCATATTTCAGCCCCAAATGGGCTACGCTACCAAGCTTTTTTCGATTTAGATATAGACTTGCGACTGAAAATATGGGTAAAGAAAAAATGAGACAGACGATGGCTGTTCATGAATGCCATCATGGGTAACTTATCCCACCATTGTGCAAGCATTGGAAAATCTCATTGCTGATAGGGTTAATCGAACCATCAACGCTTGTGGACTACTTCTAGCTGTGAAAGAGTTTGTTTTTGTTTTGACATTGTCTTGCTTCATCGACTTCTGAACTAATCAAAATTCTATCAGATCAATTGAAAGGTAACTTACTTCGTCAATTACTCTGTAAAGTGTGTGGGTGTGAGTGAATAGAAGATCTACAGACACTACAACAGACACTCTATTCAGCAGTATATTTTCAGGGTGTAGGTGTGGGTGACTAAATGACTGACACCCACACCCACACCCACGATCTCTAACTCAGCCTATCCTGAAGTAAAACCCTGGCTACGTCAATAGCTCAAAGTACGCAGATTGTTTATACAACTTCATCTGATTGTATCATTTATTGAATATGAATGTAAGTGCTTTCGAAATACTATTCGATTAATGATTGCAATTATACTCTTCGTACTCGGAAAATTACTTTTCCAGGAGGTTTTTCCAACAACTTTTGTATTCTTGACGCAGTATTGAAACCATGGGCGAGTTTTGTTTTCGAGATTAATCGTAAGTAGCTTTATTTCTCGATATCTACCTTTCGAATTGAATTAAAGCAATTGGATGACGATTTTGTTGTTTGACGAAGACTTTTCAAAAAAAGACAAATCAGAGAAATTGCCGAGGAATTCAATCAAAATATTTGATGCTATCAATAAAAAGTATAGAAATAATGGGCAGGAAAAGAGACTATTTGCGAAACCATTATAAGTTACATGATATTTTAGTTCTTTTAGTTTCTTCACAATGAAACATATCCGTACGACTTTCGGCAGACGTTCAGGGTATCCAAGACGATCATTTCTCATAGTGTGTACGACAGTGTTAGGAAGATTCAGTCTTCCAAAAGACAATCGAAATATTGAGAAATGCAAAGTCTTTGAAATTTTGGTTTTATTTGGTGTGTATTATGGCCTTTTAGCAATAAATATGAGACCTCAAAAAATAAAATTGTATGCTAAATAATTCCCATCGATTGTGACGTTTTTTTTCCAAAGATTACTCATTTTCCACATCTATTCAATACAGATGACGAACAACAATTATGGTGTGGGTGTGAAGGTGTTGAAACATTACAGATTCGGAGTATCGAGCTCCACTGATAATTTCGATAGACATAAAAGTCAAATACTAACAGTATTTTATGCATCTACTGTTTTCCCAAAGAGAAACAACATATTTGACTCGAAATTTTCTAATAGCACATCCTATACCACACTGATCATCGTCGAGAAAGTGTTGATGATGTCTGAGACTACCAATTAATTTCTATTCACTGACTCAGTCATGTATGAAATGTTCTTAAAGCATTCATTTTTCATACAAATGAGTGCAGTTTTGATTCACTGATTTGGTCTGAGTCCTAATAATATTACGACATATACAGGTGTTGACAATCGAATTTTTTCATATAATTATTTTGAATTATTGATAGTTAACGGCTAGTAAAATTATCATCAACTTTCGTAACAAAGCGTTGTCTGATTCTGACCCTTGAAGCTTGGAGTAACTACAATATTTCAATTCTTTGATAACCCAGATTTCATTATGACTGAATAACGTTTTCGATCAATCATGAAAAATAGAAACAGAAAAGGTTACTTACTTTGTGGTTGACCACATAAATATATATTTTTCTGTGTTAATGCAGCGCTTAAAAATGGAAGCTGCTTCATATTTGATTTTATCATTACTTCTTTGGTGACATCAGCTAATATCATTCGAATATCTTCATTGGGCGTTTCAAGATGTTTAAGAAGATATTTTGTAAATAAACCGTTTCGTTCATTTTCACCATCACTGGCAATAGTTCCAGGAGCACAAGCAAACGCAATCAATGATCCGACTTTAGCATCCATTGCCTTTAGACCAAGCGACTTAGGGTCAGTGTTATCCACCCCACGTGTATTTGTATTACGTGCGTGATATTCTCGACAACAATCCAATAAAAATATCATTACGAATGGTTCTTGATCACTGAAGTCGTGAAGCATGGACTGCACTTGAATCGCATTCTTGTTTAAATTTTTCTCTGTATCATCATAATCTGTGGGTAATAAATAATTCTGTTCCTACAAGCACCATAGACGAAGTTCTCATTACAAAAATGAGAAAAATCTTGACATAAAAAGCAATCGACTACTTACGTTCCATTGCTTTCCATGCCCAGCGAAATAAAATAAGACCATATCTCCCGGTTGTATTTTCTTTCTGAATTCATCACAAGCCTTGGCCATATCCCAGTACGCTAAATTTAAGTTTGTAGTTACAGAAAAACCAATACGTTCCAATACAAGTGTTATATCTTTTGCATCATTTTCAGGATTCGTTAATTTGCGAACTCCTTCATTCTGATAGTCCCATATGCCAATTACAAGTGCCAGTTTTTGTCCTGATACAGGCTTATCAATAGTTGTTGTTTTGCTCGTCATTAGTGATCAACCTCTATCTGAAAATAAATCTGAGAAATATCAAGCAATAGATCTAGATACAGAACTTGAGACGTTTGCATCCACTTAGAACGCTTTTAGAAAGTTTGCAATATGAATTACGTGATTAATTTCGATAATAATCAACAAAGACAGCAAAATGTAACCTACGAAGCTGCAGATCTAGATACTCGGTTAGATATTTTCGTTTTTTATGTACGGAGTGCAATCAGCTCTTGTTTTTGTATCGCTGTAAGCAACAATATCCTGTAATTATTCGAACGATATATACAATTTTGAACGACGTATATGGATATAAGAATACAATTAGAAACTATTTGAAATGGATCAATCGAGTATTATAATGTGATTAACAGTCGATTCAAAGAACTCAAATGAAAATAGAGGAGCACTCCTTTTTTGTGTTCAAAATCTTCTCGTCTACTCTCCAGTTAGATCAAATTGAAATACCAGAAGAAAGTGGAAGTGTGAGTAATTTGCAGGTACAGTATGAGCATGGGCATGGATGTGAGTTTAATATGTGGATGGATGAGAGTGTGCGTGCACGCTTGATGATGAATATGAGGAAGCCTGAGTATGAAGAGTTCTTGAAAACGAAATGATCACTCATACATGGTCATCCACAATCAGTCATGGATAATTAGCATCACCCAACAAAAGTCAAGCGTATATTTAAACAGTTACTTGAAATGGTACTATATATCGATCTCGGCACTTTGCTGAATATTCGATCACCACTGGTCGCCCAAATAGGCACTCACTATTCGCATGAACGGTTTGACGGAAAACGTCGAAAAGGAAAAGGTGAGAGTAAAATGTCGGATATATTTGAAGATAGCATCAGCAAAATTCAGTTCATATAATTGATCTAAAGAAAATATGGTCGTTTCGAACATATTTGAAGGGTGTGGATGTGTGGAGTGTGGGTGTGAGTATGACTGAAAGAAGAAGAACAACCACACCCACACACTTGTATTCGTGTCTTTTTTACGCGTAGTCTCATTAAATTTGCAGTTAGACTATATTGATTTTGGTTCTTTATCTTTTTAATAACTAAAATTGATGAATAGACTGGGACAAAAAGAAAGGTAGATTGTTCGCAATTTCTTGATGCTAAATATATAACATTCAAAGTGATATCTTTTACTTTTCCAACCTTCCTAACAATTTACTCACCACGATCAAGTAATTGAAGCAAAAGCGTCCTAGATAATTTCAATTGTGTGTTGTCGTTGATTGGAAGTTTTTGCGTCTTACACCGTTGGCTTATTTTTACTTGAATGATTCGTATCTTACTACTGTAGCATTTCAAGCCATTATCTTTCTGTCTCCCTCAATGTAATGATTCAAGGTCGTCTATTTGTCGATCTCTTAATTGCGTCAAGAATATTATGCACCTACACGTCTGTTTTTACCATCGACTTTTTTCCGTTCTCTTCTGGCTGGTCATATATCAGCAGGAGTTAAATTGGAGTTAGAAAACAGACACCAACTCCAACTCCGCTCCAAGTCATCTCTACTTCACTCCAACTCTGCCAAACAGTTGCAAAATTCCAATCCAACTCCGTTCCAGGTCATTTCAACTCCACTCCAACTCTACCTAACAATTACAAAATCCCCATCCAATTCTATTCACCCGTTGAAAAATTCCTGTCCAACTTCGCTCCAACTCTGACGAAAAAAACCGTCAACTCCGGAGTTAACTCCAACTCCGAGTTGAAGTTGCTCATCTCTGATATAATCAAATTTTTCATCGCTACTCTATGTCTATCTTTGAACGACCCTAACTACTTCAATTCATACTGCAACAAATATCAATCTTTGTACTCCATATGAAATGAATATCATTGACCAGATGTAGAGTTTTTTTTGCTTCTTTGTCATCACTCATCGTCTTCTCTTTCGGTGAAT